ATGCATTTAAGTTTTAATGTTTTCCGCTACTACACCTGAGCGTACTGCATATCGAATTATATGTCCGCTCGGCCACCGTAGCATTTGGCCTTGTAGGCCACTGTACAGCAAGCTAGTTAGTCAGCTCCCTATATCTGAATGGAGAGCGATAGCATGCAGCAGAGGACAGCTTCAGCAGATTCAACCCGGTCCTTCGTTGTTAAAAGTCGATGTAAAGTCATTTTGGATTCTACAATGTTCCAGGGAAGACAGAGCTTGACAAGAGCACAGTTGTTTGCAAGAAGTGTAAAATAAAAATATGGTACTATAGTTTGGAAATACAACAAATGTGTGGAAGGTAGATGAAAAGTGAAGCAGCAGACCAGCAAACTCTGCAACAAACTTCCAACTAATTCTCCAAGCAGGGCTCCAAAGATTCCCCACTCCATCGCCTGCTATATCACAAAGATTTATGCGCATACAGCTCAGTGGAAGGCGAAGGGTTTAGGTTTATTTTTATTATGCAGGAGTACATTATTTCTTCACATAGCTTTTAGCAATAAAGCAGCGCCACAACTTCACCATGAAAAAATAAAGTGGGAGAAGCTCTGATTAATGCTACTAGCTGCAGCTCAAAGGATAACTGTTTTTTCTCATCCATCCATCCATCCATCCATTATCTTTTACCCGCTTTTTCCATTTTAGGTCATGGGGGTCGCCGGTGCCCATGTCCAGCAATCACTGTGCGAAGGGCGGGGTACATCCTGGACGGGTTGCAAGTCCATCACAGGGCCACACAGAGACAAATGAGACAAACAATCATTCACTCTCTCACTCACACCTAGGGACAATTTAGAGTTATCAATCAGCGAAACATGCTTGTTTTTGGTCTGTGGGAGGAAACCTGGAGTACCCGGAGAAAACCCACGCATGCACGGAGAAAACATGCAAACTCCACCCAGAAAGACCCCTGGACCGGGGTTTGAACCAGGGACCTGCTCGCTGAGAGGCAGCAGCTCTACCAGTTGCGCCACCGTGCTGCCCCATTGAAACTTACTAATGATATTCTCATGGCCTCGTCTTGCGTCAGTACCGGTCCTGTTAGACCTCAGTGCTGCAACTGATACAGTTGATCACAATATTCTACTACAGAGCCTTGAATATGATATTGGGATTAAAGGAACAACTCTAAAATGGTTTAAATTATATTTATTTTATATTTTCTAGTTTGTAAATGTAAATAAAAAATCTATAATCTATAATAATCTTCTTTATACACCAACGTTAGTTATGGAGTTCCTCAGGGTTCCGTGCTTGGACCTGTCACAAGAACAGAATACCCAGGGTGAAATGACTGGTGATGAACAATTCAGACACAATAGTATCAATTCAGTGCTTTTAATTACAGTGAGTAATAATTTAGGACGAAACAGGAACCCTGGGGAGCAAGGAGATGGGTCAGGTCCAGTGTTCAGCAAAGGGGGTTTACTCAGAACGTGCAAGTTCCTTACTGGGAGATGGTTGGTAAGATGTATGGTTCCAAAGTCCTAAACAATCATGAGAAGATCCAATACACTCTGGAGGGCATTTGGTTGGAGGGTGAGAAGAGCAGCTGAAGGGTGCATAGGTAAGGTTACCAGAGGTTCACTAGGAGATCCATATACTCAGCTACGTATCAGGTGGTTCACTGGAAAGATTACAGGAGAAAAGTAAGTATCCACAAGGCTTAGAGATTCACAAAGGGCTAAGAGCATGAACCAAAAGCAGGGTAATTCTCCAGTGTCAAAGGAGAGTCATCAACTGCCTTATATACAGATCCTTCTCAAAAAATAAGCATATTGTAATAAAGGTCATTATTTTCCATAATGTAATGATAAAAGTGAAACTTTCATATATTTCAGATTCATTGCACACCGACTGAAATATTTCAGGTCTTTAATTGTTTTAATACTGATGATTATGGCATACAGCTCATGAAAACCAAAATGCCTGTCCCAATAAATTAGCATATTTCATCCCACCAATGAAAGACAAGTGTTTTTAATACAAAAAACGCCAACCTTCAAATAATCATGTTCAGTTATGCACTCAATACTTGGTCGGGAATCCGTTTGCATGAATGACTGCTTCAATGCGGCGTGGCATGGAGGCAATCAGCCTGTGGCACTGCTGAGGTGTTATGGAGGCCCAGGATGCTTCGATAGCGGCCTTAAGCTCATCCAGAGTGTTGGGTCTTGCGTCTCTCAACTTTCTCTTCACAATATCCCGCAGGTTCTCTATGGGGTTCAGGTCAGGAGAGTTGGCAGGCCAATTGAGCACAGTAATACCATGGTCAGTAAACCATTTACCAATGGTTTTGGCACTGTGAGCAGGTGCCAGGTCGTGCTGAAAAATGAAATCTTCATCTCCATAAAGCTTTTCAGCAGATGGAAGCATGAAGTGCTCCAAAATCTCCTGACAGCTAGCTGCATTGACCCTGCCCTTGATAAAACACAGTGGACCAACACCAGCAGCTGACATGGCACCCCAGACCATCACTGACTGTGGGTGCTTCACACTGGACTTCTGGCATTTCCTTCTCCCCAGTCTTCCTCCAGACTCTGGCACCTTGATTTCCAAATGACATGCAAAATTTGCTTTAATCCGAAAAAAGTACTTTTGACCACTTAGCAACAGTCCAGTGCTGCTTCTCTGTAGCTCAGGTCAGGCGCTTCTGCTGCTGTTTCTGGTTCAAAAGTGGCTTGACCTGGGGAATGCGGCACCTGTAGCCCATTTCCTGCACACGCCTGTGCACGGTGGCTCTGGATGCTTCTACTCCAGACTCAGTCCACTGCTTCCGCAGGTCCCCCAAGGTCTGGAATCGGCCCTTCTCCACAATCCTCCTCAGGGTCTGGTCACCTCTTCTCCTTGTGCAGCGTTTTCTGCCACACTTTTCCCTTCCCACAGACTTCCCACTGAGGTGCCTTGATACAGCACTCTGGGAACAGTCTATTCGTTATTACCCTCTTGCTTGAGAGTGTCAATGATGGCCTTCTGGACAGCAGTCAGGTCGGCAGTCTTACCCATGATTGTGGTTTTGAGTAATGAACAAGGCTGGGAGTTTTTAAAAGCCTCAAGAACCTTTTGCAGGTGTTTAGAGTTACGTCGTTGATTCAGATGGTTAGGTTAATAGCTTGTTTAGAGAACCTTTTCATGATATGCTAATTTTTTGGGACAGGCATTTTGGGTTTTCATGAGTTGTATGCCATAATCATCAGTATTAAAACAATTAAAGACCTGAAATATTTCAGTTGGTGTGCAATGAATCTGAAATATACGAAAGTTTCATTTTTATCATTACATTATGGAAAATAATGACCTTTATCACAATATGCTAATTTTTTGAGAAGGACCTGTACACCTGGAGTATCATCCGGACACATTGTCTGCAGGTTTGGAAGTATGGCACCCTCTGGTGACCCAAGACAGGCATGGAACAGGAACTCCCACTGTACTTCCCCCTCATCAGTTGCTTCCAGGTGCCCTGAGGCATTTCTCAGGGTGAGCCCTTAAAAAGAAAGTAATGAGGCTAGGGTCCAAGATGAAGGTCCTAGGGATTCTTCAGTCCATAACCTTCCCAAATGATGAGGTATTGAAAACCTCGACCACAGTGTCTTGAAGTTGGATGTGGGCGATGCTGTAACTTGTCAGTTTGGCAACGGTCAGCAGAGTTTGAAGGGTCTGTGTAGGAATCGCCAGCCGATCAAGGAGGTCCTGGCTGATTAAATTCTGTTCAGCTCCTAAGTCCACGAGCATTGAAACAGGTAATTTATCTTGGTTAGAAACAAGCAAGGTAGGCAGCAACAGTCTGGAAGTGGGCGAAAGAGCGAAGCTTCCCACCAACAGTTTTACAGAAAGAGAAAGCTTGGTCCCCCAAAGTGGGCAGTGAGCAATAAATTATCCCATCTTACCACAATATATGCAAGCATTATCCTCCATCTATCTCTGTGTCTCCTCAGGAGAGAGACGGTTGCGTCCCTCTGGCATAGGTTTGGTTGCTATCCTTGGGACAGGTGAGTGTGATGGCAACAGATGTAACCTGGAAGAAGTGAGGTTGTGGGATCTGTAGTCCCTTTCTTTGTCTCTCTCCAGGAAGCGGTTATCGATCAGGACCGCAAGATGAATTAACTCATTTAGATTTTGTTGTTTGTCTCGAGAGGCTAGGAAATCTTTAATATGGTCAGACAGGGAGTGTGGAAAAGTACCTTTGAGTGCTGTTTCATCGCATCCAGCACGTGCAACAGCAATGCAGAACTCCAGGGTGTGTTGTGATATAGTACGTCGGCCCTGTTCAAGGTTAGAAGTATCACAATCCTCAGTGTTTAGACCCATTTGCAGGCAGGCGAGCGAGGCAGGAGTTTAAATAAAAATAATTTATTTAAACAACAAAACAAAAAGCTGTCGGTGCAGCAAAACTTACTCTGGCAAAACAGGATCAAGAACAAGACATCAGAGTACACAGGAGGAGCAGATCATCAGGTGGACAAAAACAGACAGGACAGAGGAGGACTGAGATGTCTGTGAATACAGAACAATGACCGGACGAGGAGTGGAGGAGAGAAAGGCTTTTTATAAGACAGAGGGAGAGTGAGTAATGAGAGCACCTGGGCAGATGGTTGATGAGGGACAAGTGTGAATGATAAAGACTGAGGAGTGGAGAGGCAGACTGAGGAGTGAGTGGAAAATAACAGAATCAGATAAACAGAAAATCACACACAGAGCAGAACAACAAAAGTATAAAGAGCAGACAGAGACAGAGCCTGTCATAACACCCCTCTCAAGGGACGGCTCTTGACGTCCCCTAGAACACAACACAGAATGGGTGGGAGGATGGGGAAAACAAGGATGGAGGGCACAAAAATCCAAACAAAAACCGACAGGGTAGACCTGGGAGCAAAAAGACTCAAAACACAAGTATTTCTATGAACGGCCCTGGGCATCGTTCCTAGCGGGACCAGAGTTCGGGCGGACGGCCCGTGGACCGTCCAGAGCAGGACCAGAGTTCGGGCGGATGGCCCGGGGACCGTCCAGAGCGGGACCAGGGTTCGGGGGAGGATGGAATGGGGCCAGAGATGGTAGTGCTGGCTGCTGCTGGAGCAGACGGGATGTTGGCAGCTGCTGGGTCAGGACGGGGTTCGGCAGCTGCTGGGTCAGGACGGGGTTCGGCAGCTGCTGGGTCAGGACGAGGTTCGGCAACTGCTGGGTCAGGACGGGGTTCGGCAGCCGGGAGGTCGGACGAGGGTTCAGCAGCCGTGAGGTCGGACGAGGGTTCTGCAACCGTGAGGTCGGACGAGGGTTCTGCAGCCGTGAGGTCGGACGAGGGTTCTGCAGCCGTGAGGTCAGACGAGGGTTCTGCAGCAGAAGAGTCGAAGGCGGGCTCTGCAGCCGAAGAGTCGAGTTCTGCAGGCGAAGAGTCGAGTTCTGCAGCCGAAGAGTTGAAGGCGGGTTCTGCAGCCGAAGAGTCGAAGGCGGGTTCTGCAGCCGAAGAGTTGAAGGAGAGTTCTGCAGCTGCGGGGTCAGAGCCGGGATCTGCAGCAGTAGGTGATGGAGCCGGGCCCACCGGAGGCTTGGGGCCTAACGGAGGCTTGGGACCCACCATTATAGAGATCCCAATAGATGGGGTGTCAGAACCAGTCCCCACAGAGACACAGGAAGGAGGTGGGGCTGCAGCAGCAGGTGGAGGCTGGGCTGCAGCTGGAGGAACAGGGTCAGAGCCGGGTTCTGCAGCTGCGGGGTCAGAGCCAGGTTCTGCAGCTGCGGGGTCAGAGTTGGAGTCTGTAGGCGGCGAGTCCGGTGAAGGGTCTGCAGGTGGCGAGTCCGGTGAAGGGTCTGCAGGTGGCGAGACCTTGAGAGCCAGAGCGGGCGGCGAGACCAGGAGAGCCGGAGTGGGCGGCGAGACCATTCCATTCACCAATGAGGGGTGCTTGGGATGACCGGGGGGCGTGGCAGATGGCAGGAGAAGAGAGCGCAGCACACGTCTCGCATTCCAAGCTTGAGAAAACAGTTCAAACACCCCCGGTTCATAGCCTTCTAGTTCCAACCGGGTAAACACGTTAACAAAGTCCTCAGCGGCCACCAACCTCTTCCACAGATCCTTGGGGGTGGCCCTGGTGTCCAGATCATTATGCGTTACCCGGCGGAGTTGCTCACGTTCGTGCTGGCGCTTGGAGTGGAGCGAAGAACCTGCTGGGTCTGGGTCAGGTCCGGTCATTCTATCACAATCCTCAGTGTTTAGACCCATTTACAGGCAGGCGAGTGAGGCAGGAGTTTAAATAAAAATAATTTATTTAAACAACAAAACAAAAAGCTGTCGGTGCAGCAAAACTTACTCTGGCAAAACAGGATCAAGAACAAGACTGAACAGGACATCAGAGTACACAGGCGGAGCAGATCATCAGGTGGACAAAAACAGACAGGACAGAGGAGGACTGAGATGTCTGTGAATACAGAACAATGACCGGATGAGGAGTGGAGGAGAGAAAGGCTTTTTATAAGACAGAGGGAGAGTGAGTAATGAGAGCACCTGGGCAGGTGGTTGATGAGGGACAGGTGTGAATGATAAAGACTGAGGAGTGGAGAGGCAGACTGAGGAGTGAGTGGAAAATAACAGAATCAGATAAACAGAAAATCACACACAGAGCAGAACAACAAAAGTATAAAGAGCAGACAGAGACAGAGCCTGTCAAGAAGACACTTGACTGCCTGTGCCTGCTGGAGAGGATGTTGAAACACACATCTGAATTCATCAAAAAATATAGAAAAATTTAAAGATTCAATGGGGTTCGTAGACATTAAAGTGTGTGCCCAACGAAGCGTGTCCCCCTTCAACTGACTGATTATGCAGGTAATCTTAGCAGCGTAAGAGGAATATGTTTATTGTCCTCATTTGAATGTTAGCTGGCACTGTAATAAAAACCCATCGCAATGTTCAGGATCACCACAGAAAAACTCAGATGGCTTGAAATTTTCCTCACAGGCAATCAGTCGGAAAAGGTAATGGGCTCTGATTGACAGACTCAGAGGGGGCGCTGGCGCAGAAGATAAAGGTGAAGACAATCTTTTATTGTATGATAACATCATATTTCTTAGCTCCTCCATATTAGACTGGTTAAATTTTTGCTGAGTAAAAATTTGTTGCAGAGCATCTCCTAATTTGTCTATGCATCTTATCTGGGACATAAAAAGGTGTTGAGATTGGCCATCTTCACTCACTTTATGGGTGTTAAGGTCTGGCTGGAGCATTTCTGTTACAAGAATTGAATACCCAGAGTGAAAGGACTGGTGATGAACAACTCAGACACAATAGGATCAATTCAGTGCTTTTATTTACAGTGAGTAAAAATTTAGGACGGAACAGGAACTTGGGGAGCAAGGATATGGGTCAGGTCCAGAGATCAGCAAAGGGGGTTTACTCAGAATGTGTAGGTTCCTTACTAGTAGATGGTTGGTAAGATGTATGATTCCAAAATCCTGTACAATCATGAGAAGATTAAATGTGCTCAGGAGGTTGGAGGGCAAGAAGAACAGCTGAAGGGCACACAGGTAAGGTTTCCAGAGGATCGCTAGAAGGTCCAAATACTTAGATAGGTCTCAGGAGGTTCACTGGAAAGATGACAGGAGAAAGGTAAGTAATCACAAGACTTAGAGATTCACAAACGACTAAGGGCATGAACCATAAGCAGGGCAATGCTCCAGCATAGAAGACAGTCTTCATCTGCCTTATGTACACCTGGAGCCACATCACGACACAGTCTACAATGGTGCCCTCTGGTGAGCAAACACAGGCATGAAACAGGAACTCCCACAGGACCAATACTCTTTATACAGTATATGCTTCCATTAGGAAAAGTCATTAAACAGCATGGGATAAATTTTCATTAATATGCTGATGATACACAGTTACATTTGTCCATGAAACCCAATGAATCCAGTCAGTTACTTAGATGACAAGCATGTCAAACACATGAAAACCTGGAAGACCTTTAATTTTCTGCATCTTTAAATTCAGATAAGCCAGTGTTGGCAGAAGAACCCATCAGAAAAATCTTCAACTTGCACTTGCACCTCCAGGAGAGCTTTAACCACATCCTAGCTGTGGTGGGGGATACTGAGTCAGAGTGGGCTATGTTCTGCACCTCAGTTGTTGAAATAGCTGCCTTGAGCTGTGGCCGCAAGGTAGAGTTGCAATCGGGTCCAAATAATCTGAACCGACCCGGCCCCAGCCCGCAGCCATCATCTCTGAACCCCACCCAATCCAACAAATTAACAGTAATTACAGGTCCGAACTCGAACAAAAAAAAACAAACAGTCGTTTTAAATTAAGCTTTGACTGCTTATACTACTGACTACCATCATATTATTATAACAGTTGGCGTGCGCGCATGGCTGAGGGGGCAGAAGATAAGAGCTGAGGAGCCGTCAAAGTGCATTAAATGTTTCCCCTGCTTCTGCCTACATTGGAGCCTGCTCTGACATTACGGATATTTTGTGATCTCACCTGTTTGGGTCATCGGCCACACGAGTGCAGCGGCTGAATGAACGTCCATTTGGGCTGATGGATCGCTGGCAGTAGTCATTCATTCAACCTTTATTTAGACAGGTTAATTCCACTGAGCCTTGAGGACTCATTTACAAGAGAGACCTGATTTCAACAAAGAATGATGACAACAATGGCCAACAACGACAACAATAGACAATTATAAAAAGGCATACAAATTATTATTATTTTTTTTACAAAAAATAGAGTTGGCATGCCTTTGCAACATCACGTTAACATCGGGGTCAGTGCCACTGGATTGGCAGACTGGGGTGGTGGTTCCCCTCTTCAAAAAGGGGGGCCGGAGGGCATAACTCTGCTTAGCCTCCCTGGTAAGGTCTATTCCGGGGTACTGGAGAAATGAGTCAAATCGTTGGTTGAACCTCAGATCCAAGAGGAACCATGCAGGTTCCATCCTGGCCGTGAAACACTGGATCAGCTCTTTACCCTCACTAGGGTCCTTGAGGGGTCATGGGCGTTTGCCCATCCAGTCTATATGAGTTTTATGGACTTGGAGAAGGCTTTCAACCATGTTCCTTGAGGTACACTGTGGGGTTTGCTTCGCTAGTATGGGATTGGGGGCCCGTTGCTACAGACTGTTCGGTCCCTATATAAGCGGTGCAAGAGTTTGGTTCTCATTGCCGGTAGTAAGTTGGACCCCTTCAGGGTGGGAGCCTGGTCTCCGCCAGGGCTGCCTGTTGTCACAGATTCTGTTCATAACTTCTATGGACAGAATTTCTTGGTGCAGCCGGGGGACGGAGGACCTATTCGGTGGCCTCAGGATTCCATCGCTGCTCTTTGCAGATGATGTGGTCTTGTTGGCATCAACATGCTGTGACCTTCAAATCTCACTGGAGCGGTTAGCAGCCACGTGCGAAACAGCTGGGATGAGAATCAGCATCTCCAAATCTGAAGCCATGGTCCTCGGTCAGAAAAGAAAGAATTGTTCTCTTCAGGTCAAGGATGAGGTTCTGCCTCAAGTGGAGGAGTTCAAGTATCTCAGGATTTTGTTCATGTGTGAGGAAAGAAAGGCGCATGAGATTGACAGAGGGACTGGTGCAGAATCTGCAGTATTGCGGCGTCTGTGCCGGTCCATTGTGGTGAAGAGGGAGCTGAGCTGCAAAGCAAAGCTCTCTGTTTACTGGTCAGTTTAGGTTCTTACCCTCACCTATGGTCACGAGCTGTGGGAAGTGACTGAAAGAATGAGATTGCAGATACAGGCGGTTTGTTTCCCTGTCAAATTCAGAACTTAATTCAAAATCTTATGTCTAACTTACAAAGCCCTCAAGAACCTAGCTTTTAAAAGGTAGTTTTTCCTTTCCACTGTCTCGTACTTGCTCAGAACGAGAGAATGTGACGAAGTGAAGATTCAACACAATCTGCTGCTTCCTTAGATAGAGAACTTTTACTAATCGGCTTTTATAATGTATATGAATGTTTTTGTACAGCACCCTGAGATGACTTCTGTTGGGACTTGGAGCTATACAAATAAACTGAATTGAATTGTAAGAGTATGATTAGAAAAGAAAACTTCTAATGTACAGTACAGCATACTTTCTTTTAAATCATATAAGCAAACTATAATTTCATTATGGACCAGACAAACTTAAGGTATTTATATGTTCATCTAACCATCAGAAAAAAATGTATTTATTCAAACATTTTTTATTACTTAGGATTTTATAACTTTTTACTACTATAACAACCAATTTTACAATCCAAGAAATACAAATGTATTTGTTTTATAAGCAATGCCTAATTAAAAATGACTTTTTATATAAATCTCCAACAACTGCAATAGAATTTTCATAAGAATTTAATCCAATTTTTAAATATCAAACTCGTTTGGCTGTAAGGAATAACCTTTTGAGGTGTTTGAATATTTCTTTGATTTTCAGCCCATAAATGATAGGATTAAAGAGAGGATGATACATTATTAATTGCAAAGTCATTATTAATCGCAAGATCTCTGGAAAATCGGAATCCATTTGGACTGTAATAACATCAAAAGCACACAAACAAGAAAAATTGATGAGGACAATTAAGTGTGGTAAACATGTTTGTGCTGCTTTTTTTCTCATTTCTCTATTACTTTTATATGATATTCTAAGTATCCGTATGTAAGTGAAAAGTATAAAAAGTAAAGGAAAAAGTGCAACATTTAGCAAAATCACCATGTCATGTATGATTTGAGCTTTGGAGACAACACATTGTAGTTTGTAGACTGTATTATTGCAAAAAACACCTCCTAAAGTAAAGTTACAGAGTTTCTTATCAGCGCTCAGACCAGCTGGCACTGCAACATGAGAAGCAGGAAGAATCCACGCTAAGATCAAGAGAATACAGACTTTAGTTTTTCTCATAAGGGTGTGATATTGCAGAGGTTTACATATAGACACATACCTGTCATAAGCCATGGCCGTCAACAGTAAAAACTCTGAACCTCCTAAAGAGTAAAACAAATGAAACTGTAAGAGACAGGCTGAGTACGATATGATCTGTTTTTCAGATAGAACGTCAATCAAAAGCTTTGGGTAGATAACAGTGCTCCAGAGAACAGCGTTGATCAGCAAAGCTGCAATAAAAATGTACATCGGCTCGTGAAGGTTCTGGTGAATCCAAATAAGATACACAATGATAGAATTACAGCTTATTATAAGAAGGTAGGCTATAAGAAAGATCACAAAATACAGATATCTGTATGTGTGCACTTCCACATGCCCACCAAGAATCACATAGGTTACATTTACTTCACCATCCATTTAAATTGATCATTTAGATGAAAAAACAAACAAACATGGATTTTAGCAACTTAAATAAAAACCTGTAAACTGTGCGTTAAGTCAGAATTTAAAAAAATCTTTGTAGTTTTAAAACACTATCCAAAGAAGTAAAAAAAAAGTTCAACTTCTGTGAAATGTTTTACAGACCTGATGGCTTTAAAACATCATCACAAAGACTTTCAGTGATTTCGTTAAGGTTGGGAACAAAAATAGGAGTTTTGGAAAGTGCACAGAAATCATGCTGCAAAAAAGGCTGCAAAGCTTGTATCATGAAAGAGCTTCATAAGGAAAACAGAAGGTCATATAAAATAGAGGAGATGGTAAGGCTGAACAGAGTTAAATGTGAAAATGGTTTGCATAATTTAAGAGTAAATGAAGTTTTTCAAAACAAAGACCAGACATGGTTGTTTCACAGGCAAACAAAATGCAAAGCAAATCAAAACTCTTTGAAATCTAATTGTTCTTGTTTGAAAACATCAATTTCACAAAATCTACAAATCAAACCAGCATATCATAAACTGATGGAAAAGTTGTTGCTTTCATTGAAGAAATGTAAAACAAGTATCTCTTTCTAATATAAGGAAGTGAAGTGAGCTGATCACAGTCGACCTAGCAGATAGTTTGTGAGTTTAAAAATCTGCATAGATGAAGTAAGCAGAAGTTTGTCCCAATGGATTCTTAGACTGACACAACAGTCTAATCCCATGAAATCCTTTAGAAGAGACTGTAACTATGAAGACAGGCCCTGTAGACCCCAAACAAATTTCTATTTATGGATGATTCATTAGCCAACACAGAGGAACAAAAGTGCAAGTAAATACCTTCTGTAAGTTCTTTGAGAAATAATGGGAATATTAATTTAAAAGGTGGATAAAGATGAAAAAGTGAGAGAAACTGACAGCTAAAGACAAAAAAGTTTTGCCGGTGGATAGAATAGCAGATGAATGGCTGGCTGTTGAAGCAAAAGCAAAGTTAAGCAAAATGTATTGACAAAATTTTGCTAACAAAAAACCTTACCTCACTAGGCAAGAAATGTTTTGAGTGGCTGATCACGACCCACATTAAACATAAGAATGACAACAATGTGGACCCAAATCAGCATACCTGCAAGAAGAGCCACTCTACATCATTCAGAGAGTGAATCGTATCTCGGTGCAATGATAATAAAGCTCATTCTGATTCTGATTCAGAATGCTCATGTTAGGATACTCTTCCTGGACTTTACTTTGGCATTTTGTATCATTTTCTTTCAAATTTTGTGTCACGATCCTCGAGGTTGGAACCCAATTGCAGAGAGATGAGTGAGGCAGGAGTTCAAAAACCAAAACAATTTATTTCTTTTAACAACAAAACAAAAGGCTGTCGGTGCAGCAAAACTTACTTTTGGCAGATTGGATCAGAAATAATGCAGAGCAGATCATCAGGGGGGCAGAAACCAGACAAGGCAGAAGAGGATTGTGATGTCTGTGAACATAGAACAATCACCGGACCAGGAGTGAAGGAAAGAAAGGCTTTTTATGTGACAGAGGGAGAGTTAGTAATGAGAGCACCTGGGCAAGTGGCTGATGAGGGACAGGTGTGAATGATAAAGACTGAGTGGAGAAGCAGACTGAGGAATGAGAGGAACATAACAGAAACAGATAAACAGAAAATCACACACAAAGCAGAACAATAAAAAATATAAAAAGCAGACAGAGACAGAAACTTGAAATAGAAGGAAATGATTAAGACTGTGGGATGATAGTTTGAAGATATAAATGTTGGTTTCTGGTTGCAGCTTGAAGGAGGTGGCAGAGGCTTGGCAGATGGGGGGGCAGCGGGGGCCGCTGACCGTGACATTTTGGCCAACCAATTACTCCTGCTTGGACTAATGCCATCTCCCTGTAACTGTGATCTGGACTTTTTGATACATCACCAAAGACTGTCAAAATACACTGCATCTTGGGGTGGAGAATGACAAGGCTGTGGTACAGGGGATAGCTAACCAACTGCACATAGTGGTTATAAATGCAGCTATCCCAAGTGACTTTAACTTTGGGAACAAGGAGCTTGAGGAGCTTGTGGGCTGAATGAGAAAATAGATATGTTTTTTATGCCTTTATTTTACCAGGACAAAATTAATTGAGATAATCAATCTCTTTTACAAGGATGTCCTGGACATCAAGTAGTAGAAAGTCAAGGTGTTTGTGTTCATCGGAACAGAGTGACTCCAACAAAGCTCAGAAACCAGATCTCTGTCCTCAGATCTCTGTCCAGAAGAACGCTGCCCTTGGAACAGCTCAGATACTGTCCAGAACCCATAAGCTCCCAGGCCTCAGGTAGAGGACCTGAGCTTGAAATGAAGTAAAATTCAAGTTCAATTCAATTCAAAAATACTTTATATGAATATCCCAAAGGAAAATTAAATGCTGTTGTAACTCGTTATCCTCATTTCATTAAGTTATGTTATAGATACTGATGGCTGTAGGCGGGAAGGCTCTCTTGTAAAGGTCTGTCCCATAGCGGACCCAAAAAAACTGGCTGCAGATGCCATCCGATCTGTCCACACAGACTTGGCTGGCCTCTTGGTTCCTCCAGGCAGCAGGACAGCCCAACTGCCTGGCAGAACTCCTCCCAGAGTGATGGCCACTCCTCCCAGCAGCCTGCTGAACTCCTTGTCATTGCAGACAGCTGGCTGCAGGTGCAAGGGGATGACCCTATCCTTCTGCTGTCACGAGCCATGTTTCCTGCTAGTTCCAGGATCTCAGTGGTCAGGCACTCGAGCACAGTGGGCAAGGAGATGGGAATGCATCTACGGCACCTCTTTTTCAACTCATGAGATTTGGGGCTGTAGCTGAGATATTATTTGAACTTTGAGGTGGTAATTAGCTGCTCCCGGTTGTAAAAAAAAAAAAAAAACACACAAAAAAAACGCAGTGTTGTTATGGTTACGCATCATAACAAATGTTCAAAACAAAGAAAGTTGCAGTAAAAATCCTTCCAGCTACACAGCATCCGATACCAGAGGAAACAATCATTCAAAAAAAAAAGAAAAAAAAAAAAAAGAAAAGTGATTTACATCCAGCAAAAGAGGAATGAAAGTTTTCAAAAGCAAAATCTCAGAATGAATGTAACAGAGCTACTCCAACATGCAGTCACCCCGAGCAGTGCAATTCTAAAAACAGTCCATGTGGAAAAATAGTGAGCTGGGTGCTTTATTTTGGTTATAACTGCATTAGTATTCAAAATGTACATAAAGAATATAGATATCTTGAGCTGCTTTTTGAAATTAGTTAGTCTTCTGTTGCTTATTTGTATTTAGTTCAAATTGCATCTCTTTACTGGCTTCCAGATCTCTTCAAAATTCAGTATTAAACTTTTTTTTTCAATCCATTTTCTTTACTTCTCCATTATGGGTCATGGTAAACTGGTGTGCATCTCCAGCAGTCACAGAGCGCGAGTTGGGATGCACCCTAGACAGTTCGCAAGACCATCATAGGGCCACATAGAGACAACTGAGACAATAACCATTCACTCTCTCACTCACACCCAAGGACAGTTTAGTGGTATGACAAAAACCTTGTATCTTATACATGAAGAATCCTATTTTCTCTAAAAGTTTGGTTTGAAAGTAGAATACTGGTACCTTCTCTTTTTTTTTTTTGCTCTCTCAATAAGTTTGAATGTTTGAGTCAAAATTTACAGTGTATTTAACTTTATTAAATCTTATTAATAAACCTTTGGTATTGATGGATCACTGTTTCTAGTCTTCTGTGGTACAACAAACCCATATCTTTTGGGGGATAATGAGTAATTTGATTTAAAATATTATACTGCCAATCCATAAAAATATTTTCATTAGTGAAATTCCCTGGGTGGCATCTTTGTTTTGTCTACTTAAAGGTTTTGGTAAACCAATTTTCCCCCCTTAATGTAACTGTTATGGGTGTGACGAATGAATGCATTATGCTCTTGTCCATTAGGTGGCAATCACGTGTCTATGTGAATGCATAAATGTGAAGTTTAGATAAGAGAGTGAGAGTTCTGTGAGATATCAATCATCAGACACCTGTGAGCAGAACCTTAATAAAAGTGCCTGAGTTGTAAAAGAGGACTGGTTCTTATCAAACATAAACATAACATCAAAGTTCATGCTCATACATCCAGGTACAAAATCCAATTGTAAGGATGGTACCATTTGCTGTGTCTGTGTTTCCCTAGTGTTTCCTCGTCAGTTTAATTGTTGCCACCTTTGTCTCCTCACACCTGTTGTAATCACGTCTTGTCTTGTCCTTGTATATAAGCCTCCTGTTCTGTGTTGTTCCTTTGTCGGGTCATATTCGTTGGGTCTCCTGTGTTCTCCTGCGTCTTCTGAGTCTTCCCTGAGTTTCCTGAGTCCTCCCTGAGTTTCCCTTTGAGCCATCCGTTTTCATGTAAGTCTTGCTGCCACGTCAGCTATTATTTTGTTCTTTATTTTCTATTAAAATACTTATTTTTGTAATCTGCCGAGTTGAGTCCTGTCTGCACTACTGGGTTCGTTCCTGACCACCAAAATCCTGACACCAATAATGTCAGTCAGGTCATCGGGACAGTTTCTTTTTTGTGGAAAGACATTTCACTCTCTATCCAGAGAGCTTCATCAGTCTGAGGAGTCCCAAATAAACTGTTTTCCCCACTAAGCAGTACACTCCTTTAGTGGACCCACCAGGTTCCTGGTGATAAGATGGTTTCTGGGGGCTGTCTTTTTCCCTGTTGACTCCTCCCAGGCAAGCAGCCAAAGTGGTTCAAGACATCAAAGTTCCTACTCAGTCATCCAGGTACAAAATCCAATAATGGTCAGTCAGGTCGTCTGGAGAGTTTCTTTCATTTACCTGTACCTGGATTTCAGATGCATGAATCCATGGGCAGTGGCTGAAGGCAGTGGCCGAAGGCAGTGGCTGAAGGCGGGGACCTTGGCGCTCTGACCATGGCCTACCAAAGCTGGCTCTTGGGACATGGGATGTGACCTCTTTGGTGTGGAAGGAGCC